CCCACCGTTTAATAGAAGAAAAATCATATAATTTTCTTGTCAACATAATAACATGAATAATTTTTAAAAACAAGTCAAAAGTGAAAAAGTAACTAGTATTGTATTATCTAATAACTTTTAGAATTAATTACTTCAATCTTTGATATAGATTTTGGTTGTTTTTTTGCGAGCTATAATAGAAACTGGCGGATTTAAAGCGAGTTTTCTTCAAAATGTCTTGATTAAACGTTTGGTGAGGGGTATTCTTGTAGACAAAATTTCCCGCTGCTTTTTTCAACTGAGCCATATAATACTAAAATAGATTTTTATATATATTTGACTACCTGAAGGTCACAAGCCTCAATAATAAGTTTGTTAAAGAGTAAAAAATTAATTCATATTTATTAACTAAATTGATGTATCTAGCCCATGGTATATAAATAGGAAAATTTTCGATTTTCTTTTGTTTTTAGCCATAGTGACAATCAATGGACGTTGGTGGAAAGAGCAAAGGCGGTTTTCCATGCATGTTTTACGTAATCTTGGATTTGGAAAAACTAAAATGGAAGAACACATAAAAGTCAGTTAATTATTCATCTTATATGGATTGTTAAGGATTGGTTTCTGTGTTAAAGTCAGTAATATATTTATATAATAATTGTTAGAATATAGTTTGAAAAAAACTTCTATATATTTACTTAGAGAATCCGAAAATTATTTACAAGAGTTGTAATTAATTGTAATTTAATTGTAATTGTAATTTAGGTTTAAAATTCTTTCGCATATTCTTTGTAAACAATTTTTATGTAATATTCACAGTATCACTATAATTTATTGCTTAAACATTCAACAATAATTTGTCTGGTATTTAAATATGAACTGTCTTTAATATTTTAATATAAAATACAAAGTGGTCGCTAACTTGATGTACCACATTTAAAAAAATACAACTTGAGGGTATTCGTGATAACAATTAGCTCAATCTCATGGTTAAAATGGAAAGTACAAAATTCAGTTTATAGGCAGGGGCTGATATAAGGGTGGTTTAACAGAGTGATACTCCCCTTCTTTTCCTACTTTCACAGATATCTTACTTTACATATTTTAACTCTCTATTATACTTTCAGAAGACTTAATTTACTTTAAAAGCTTTAATGCAAACATAAGTGGGAAGGATGAGGATGGGTGTCTAAAACACTCTACCAACCCCATTCCTTCCCTATGCATATTTTTTATATTAGTTAGTTCATATGGTTGAAATATTTATAATCAATAATTAATATAATTTCAAATTGCTTAGGATAATAGCACTTGTCTAAGGTATATCGAATGTCAAGAAATTCATCGAATAATTTTGGAAAAGTTATACACCAACTCCTATAGTGTTGGTTAAACCATTTTGCTTCAAAACTAAGTGGTCGGATGATTACATATGACTTGTGTGATGTATAACAGGGTTGAAAATCTGCCTTTTATTTACATGTGAAGTTAGTTGAAATACGTGGACACAGGATCCGTTCGTGAGCTGGTGGGATTAGGGCCTATGAGTGCTTAAGCCTAGCCCAATCACTTGTATTGTTGACTTTGTTTTGAAATCACGTTTTATATGACTTGTTTATTATTAGTTAAAATGATACACGTGTTTATTTTTTTATGTCCTATAACGGTTAGGACCTATGTTTGAAATATCGGCTACTCAATTTAATAAAAAAAAACATACAGTAATCCATAACTATAGTTATTAAATGTTATAGTTACGTCTGTTTATTTTTAAGCTCAAAGCTGCACATTGTCTTATCTGTGCCCTGCCCATCGTGAGTATCGAAATATGATTTTTAGCGTTATAAGCCCTCAGACTTAATGCTGAGCCACCGAGAGCATACAATTAAGTAAATAAGTTATGGGAATAGACCTTATAAACACTTCAGCTGCACCAATATCAGTGGCACAAACGTAAAAAAAATCTATAACTCCAATAACAGATGAGACCCCATTAACTTTAAGTGGCGACTCCACTTCTACAACGTTGCAGCACCAAGGCCCTACTACTTTTAGAGCTACTATTGAAATGTAAACTTGCTTCCTTCATAATATGAGTTTGGTATTAGCAAGAGAACCGAAATGTAGCCATGAATTATTATTCCCTTGCCTCTATATTTTTCATTTGTACTTACTGTTCAACACTGCTTCTGTGCTGTCTTGAAATGGGATTTAATTAAATAATGATAGAATTACCGAATGGCATTTTAACCTTCTATTAGCTATAGTGTTAGTTAAAAAAAAGCCTTTGTGGTGCAAAGTAGATTTTGTTTGAAAATATATTTAATTTTAAAAATTAAGATTATTAAACCTTTAACAATGATAACTTTCCAAAATAAAGAGGTTTAAATTCTTAGCAATGGTATTTACTAAGAATGGTTTGATTGATTTGATTTACAAAGGTTTCGTTTCTAATAATAGAGCAAGATAAAGCATATAAAAAGTCACTATAAGTTACTCTCTGTTAGAAAAACTGTCACGGTGTGTAGGCTTTTTTGTTTTCCGGCAGTCTTTCAGAACACACCTTGTAAACAAGCCAGATAAAGCAAGATTATTATTGAGATGTGTTGTCAGTGAATAGGTTCTGCACTTTCAGGGATGAGTTAGTTATAAAATAAACAATGAATCCCGTAATGGGACTTAAAGAGCCGGACAGAGCTCCTGTAGCTACGGGTGCTATTGGCTAGCTGGCCTCCCTTCGGTCAATAGCTTTAAATTAGGTACGGATAAATCTGTATTCTAGGTGTCTCTGACATGTCCGTTTAGCCCTCTTACGCATAAAGCTCCCAAGTTCTAATTTCAAAAAAAATTAATTATTACTAAGCCTCGAGAAATGAACGTCTTTCATTCACTGTTGGGAGTCTGCGTCCCTATTAGCAATGTTATTTGTCTTTGTTAGTTGCATCATAAAATTACCATCTACATAATTAAAGTCGTAACGTGTGTGTGTGCGTGAGTAGGAAACTCTTTAACTTTCATTACATTATGCAAGAATGAAGTTAGGAATAAGAAAGTATGGACGACTTGGAGGTAGACAATACTATGTACTGCAGAGGGAAGAGTATTTGGGGAATGAATTGTGTCATCCCTTAGGACCGCTTCTCAGTGCGCATTGTTTATTTGTTATAGTTTTGAGTGTGAATTTTTTCATTTGTCTATAAACACATAGAGTAATTCTAATTCTATTTCCAATACTCCCCACCGATTGGTTTGTCATTTTTTATCATACCATTCGGCTCAAAGTGCCATTTCTACTATAGGTGTGTTGGAATAGGTTTAACCCACTTAGATTTCAAAATGGGAAGTAAAGGTTTCATCCAAGGAAAGAAAGTGTTTAGACTGAACTGTCGGAAATACTCTGTGAACTCCTCCAGACGTTCATTTAGAAATTTTCTCTTTGGATCATCGTAATCGAACCTCTGACCAAACACGAGAGCAGAAATGTTGTTCGACATGCTTGAAACCAGGATTTCTCGAACATCACAAGCGCTACCATTAAGTTTGGTCAGATGATCTAATATCACACTGATTTCATCCTGCAACACCAGATGCCCCCAAAAGATAAATAATCATCTAACTTCTATAAAAACAAATTGCTGAAAAAGTAATTAATTCAAATTAAATAACAATATTATAACATATAGTTACAATAAGATATAATATATATATATCCACGCATATAGTTACTAGTTTTTAATTCTATTTACAGTCTGTAGTTTATATCCGTTATATAAAGCATCCAAAAATTTGAAACAAACACTGGGAAAAAATCGTGCTTCGCATATTAAGCGTTTTTTTAGTTTGGAGTAATTTGTATTTGCACAAAGTTAAAAAAATGAAGAGGCAGTGCTGTGTATTTAAAGCAATTAAAACATTTAGGTGACCTTCCTAGACTACTCACGCCAGAAGTTAGATACGTAGAATTCTGAACGAATCTGTTAGGGGTTCAGAACATATTAATGACTGCGAGGTTAAACAGAAAAGCTTTAAGAATTTGCAGGATACAGTAATCAGGTTAACATCATTCGTTAAGTAAGTAACGTTTATCTTGAAATTGAGGTACAGGTTCATTGATGAAAGTGCAAAATTTTTTTGAAGTTGTTGAAGCATTTCAAAATTCACATGCCCACTTATTTTATGCGTGAAGAAACCAAACGTTGTGTGATATATTACCTAAGATATTCTTTCTCATGGATTAAATTACGTATTTTTTTGTGTCGTTATTTCTAATTTTCAAAACTATACAAACAACCGTGTTATCTTATGGATTAAAGGTTGTGTTAGTTATTTGCTGTAACTTTACAAATATAAGTGATAAACGTAACATATCCGTAAAATTTTAAAGACCTTGGATATCATTAAAAGAACATTTTAACATTTTGCTGACCAAGTTATCCTGAAGTTGTTGCATTTTAACACACTCACAGAATTAACTCAGAAGAGTATGGAAACATATGAATTTGAATAAGGTTCTGGTTTTATTTTAATTGTGTAACCTCAATATATATTTTAGTAATGAAATCACACGCCACGAGGAAAGTTTAGAACAAAACTGTAATCGGGACTACATCGACCCTTTTTTGGTTGAAATGAAGGATCGTAAACAG